TAAAAAATATTAACATTTTAAATTATTTATGCTTATTACCATATTATTTTCTAAAATGGTGATGCTGATTAGAATTCTTTTTCTTTTTTTCTTGTAAAATAAGTCATTAGGCCCCTATCAATGGCTTTGACTATACTGTTTAAAATTACATACTTCTGATTTGGGAAGTGATGAAAATAAAAAGTTCTGTAAAAGTTATATGGGTATTCACATCAATCGTGGGTGGTTTACTTACTCTAACACAGCTCTGAAGACTTACTGTGACCTCAGCCCCATCTGGATAAGGTGCTTCTGCACAGTGGATGTTATTTACCAGCATCACTAAAGACATAACCAACAACTGTTTGATTAGTTTCTCTTTCCCTTACTAAACTGCAAAGTCTGTGAGGTCAGAAATCCTGACCGTCTTGCACATGGTTGTATCCCAGAGTCTAGCGCTATATCTAAAACACAGTAGATATTAGAGACACTGAATAAAAAATTCCTTTTTTGCATAATCCTTTTTTATTGATATAAAATATCTATACATATTTATGGAGTATATGTGATATTTTGATATATGCATAGACTGCATAATGATCAAGTCGGGGTATTTGGGGTATGCATCACTTTGAGTATTTATCATTTCTATGTGTTGGAAACATTTCAAGTCCTCTTTTCTAGCTATTTTGAAATATACAATACATTGTTGTCAATAACAGTCATCCTACTCTGCTTTCAAACATTAGAATTATTCCTTCAATCTAACAGCATGTTTGTACCCATTAACCAACTTCTCTTCATTCCAACCCTGTTCCCCATATACATACCCTTCCCAGTCTCTGGTATTTATCACTCTACTTTCTACCTCCATGAGATCAACTTTTTTACCTGTCACATGTGAATGAGAACATACAATATTTGTGTTTCTGGGCCTGGCTTATTACACTTAACATATGTAGACACTTGATTATACTTGTATTTTAAAAGATCATAGGGATTGGATTATTTTCATACATAGATAGGGGAACTCTAATCTTAGAGCCTCCAAACTCAGAACTGTATAACTGTCCCCATTAATCTTTACCCTCTATTGACACAAAAAATTTTGTGAAGAGGGGCTTCAAGTCTGGTTCAAAGGTAATGAGTTATCTCAACTGATTGTTCACAGTCAGTTACAGATCGAACTCCTTGTTCTGCTCTTTCTTCTCTTCTTACTACTGCACTTGACTAGTGTTAAAAAAAATTAAAATAAAATAGGCTGGGCACAGTGGCTCACACCTGTAATCCTAGCACTGTGGGACTACAGGCACATGCCACATCGCTTGGCTAATTTTTCTGTTTTTAGTAGAGACAGGGTCTCGTTCTTGCCCAGGCTGGTTTCTCTTTTCTGTTTTTCATTAGTCTAGCCAAAGGCATGTCAATTTTGTTTATTTTTTTGAAGAACCAACTTTTTGTTTTATTAATCTTCTGTATAGTTTCCCTGTTGTCAATTTAGTTTAGTTCTGATTTAATCTTGTGAATTTCACTTCTTCTGCTGGGTATGGGGTTGGTCTGTTCTTTTTCCAGCTCTTTGAGTCGATTCATTGGATTGTCTATTTGTGATCTTTCTGACTTTTGGATATAGGCATTTATAGAAATAAACTTTCCCGTCAGTACTGCTTTAGCTGTGTCCCAGAGGCTTTGATAACTTTTCTCTCCATTGTCATTTTGTTCAAAGAATTTTTTGATTTCCATCTTAATTTCCTCATTTATGAAGTAATTGTTTAGCAGAAGGTTGTTTAATTTCCACAATTTTGTGTAGAAATGTGAGTTTCTGTTAGGGTTGATTTCTACTTTTATTCCACTGTGATTGGAGAAGATACATGGTATAATTTCTATTGTTTTAAATTTTTTGAGACTTGCTTTGTGTCCTAGGATATGGTCAATCTTAGGGAATGTCCCATGAGCTGATGAGAAGAACGTATATTCAGTGGGTTTTGGATAGAATGTCCTGTAAATGTCAATCAGGCCCAATTGTTCTAGAGTTTTGTTTAAGTCCATTTAAAAATTAAAATAAAATAAAAAATTTTTAAAAAGAGGGACTTCAAGATGCCATATTAGAGGCATCTGGTACAAACCACATCCACAAAGAACCAAAATATTAGATCATTACATTTCAAACAGATCATCTAAGAGAGAACACCGGAATTCAACAGAGGAGTTACAGGAAATACCTAAGGCAAGGAAGGAGAGGGAAGTAAAGCAAAATGCATGTACTCTGCAAGTCACCCAGAAAGAGCATCTATCTCTCAGGATATATTATTAATCAGGATATATTATTAATAAAGTCAGGTAGGTATTTATTAGCAGGATTAGCTGACTCATCAAGACATACTTAAATAATTTTGGGAAGTTGCATAAATCATGACTTCTGAACTACCCTATAAGTACAATGAAATACTGAGTAAGCACATGCCAAGGTCATGTCCAACACATTTTTTGTTTTTATTTAAGCATATTATGGGGGTACAAATTTAGGTTACATATATTGCCTCTTCCCCACTCAAGTCAAAACTTTAAGCATGTCCATCCCCCAGACAGTACGCACTGCAACCATTAGATGTGAATATACCTATCCCCTCTTCCTTGCTCCCACCTGCCCATATGTTTTGTTTCTCATTGCTGTGAGCAAGGGTGGGTAGGGAACACTTTCACTTACCAGTCTTTAGGTCCAGATGATTCTTCTCTTGGATCTGAAAAGAGTTTATGGGATAATTTTTCTAATCTATCATTTCTCAGTGAGGGAAATGAGGTTCAGGAGGACTTGTCCAGCTATTTATAGGAAGAGCTCATAGTAAATTCAGATCCTTACAGCCCAGTAAATCACGCAATTCACATGGGAAAATATCCCATGTTTAGACAAAGAGCCTTGAATGCACAGAAAGTGACCTAATTTGGGCAGTTCTTTAACAGTTCAGTTCAAGTGTGACTGTCATAAAGAAGGCACCCAATAAATGTTTGCTAAGTCAAACTGTTGAAATCAGGATGTGAGATAATCCTCTGTCCTTTCACGGCAAACTTGAAAAGTTTTCTCTGAGAGATAAGAAGCAATAGCAATTTCCCATAGTCTCTAAGTTTCTCAAAACTTTATACAAAAGAAATTCTTAGTAAACACACATATAAACAATCCTATATTTGCCATAGCTTGATACTGTATCATAAAATTCAGTGTACAAGAAATGGTATCTATTATCTATGAGACTGTTAAGTTTCATTAGGATTTTGTCTGTTTTGTTTCAGTACATCCTTAGTGCTTAGAACAGTATCTGGCATAGAGCACACACCAAACAAATATTTGTAAAATGCATAACGATACCAATTGCTGACCTAGGAAGCCACTGACACTTCCCTGGGCCTCCTGCTTCACTCAGTGGGCAAGGAGTCCATGGAGCCAAAAGGAGGTGCCCACCTGAAATTTGTGTGCAATCTCCTCATCTCTAGACCCACTTTCTGAGACTTCTAGGTTCTGTGGCCAAACAGCCCTAAACTTGTGTCCAGAGACTAGAATAACCTCCCTTCCAGTCTATCCTGAAAGCAGATCATACCACTGGTGTGCAGCCTCCTAGTTCTGAAAGGTAACCAAGGGACAGCTCAGTCAGGCATGGAGGGGCAAATACTGGACATGAGGGTTGGTGTGGCTACCTGTGCATTTTGGAGGCCCATGGTGGTGCTTGATAAAGCTGGGGCTGTGAAGAAAAGAGAGTGGGCATGGGCCCCCATTTGTGTTTTTATCCCAACCCTGATAATTTTAAGTGAAAGCTTATTTAAATAAATGGATGTATGGATGGATGGATGAATAAATGAATGAAAATAATGGCTGTATGTGAACCAATGAGTAAGAGAAATGAATGGGGACACATGCACTTTCCCAAAGATTATGATAATAGCCAACTCTGTCAAATTAGACAGGACTTCCTTTAGTGCCTTTAATGACCCATCTCAAAAGTGACAGCATTGTCCAGAAAAATGGTGACAGTTCATGAGACATTTTGCAGTGGCCAAAGAAGCTAGCTCTTTAATTTTCAGTCTTAAAATGACATAAAAGGTAAATTTAAAAAGTTAAGTTCTCAATCAAATGAAACTTTAAAATGTGTCACCTGAGTACTCTAAATAAAAATGGATTCAAGCTTCAATTATAAAAAGAAAATTGTAATTTTAGGAAAATAAAGCACTTTTTCTTATCAGAACTTCACCTGGCACCAGACCTGGCACCTAGAAGTGCCTACTAGAAATTTGTCAGCAGAGCAGAGTGGTTGAGAACCACTCTGAAGCTGGTTGTTCAAGAAGTCTGAGGCTAGGCTCCTGGGATTGAATTTTAGCTTAACTTCTGACTAGCTGGATGACCTTGGACAAGAATACCTACTTCAGAGGGTTATTATAAAGATTAAGCACATTATTGCTTGTAAAGGAACAGAAGAGGGTCTGGCTTATAGTCAGCACTCTAGAAAGGCTGAGCTCCAGAGTTAAATGTGATGTTATTGTTACATAACTTATTAATAAATAGCATGTGATCCATAGTGTTAGCTATTCTTGTTAATCGCCAACTGGACTAGAATGCTGCATAGAAACCATACACTGTGAACACCAAAGCAGCTAGAACATAGAAGCCAAGGAGAGGTACCCAGAAACAAAGATAAATGGATCATATAAGCTATAATAATAATTATAGTAAAAATAATAATAAATGCCTTTTACCTTATTACCTTACCGTATTAACTTAATTTTATTGTGCTGCTGACACTTCTGATAATATAGTTACAGACCTATTGAAATTATAATGTTAAAATCTGCCTTTTACTCATCTTTTAGAGTGAGAATGGCATTGCTTATACCTGTTTTTATTTTTTTTAATTTTATGATTTTATTATTTTCCTTAAGATAGCTAACCTAAATTCTTAATTTCAAATAGACACAAATTACACATCTAAAACTCATGCATGCTTCCTGTGTACTAAAGGCAAATAATTTCTATTTTTCAGGTCTTACAAATAGTTTCTATTTCCCCTCATATTAGTATCGCTGCTATTTTTTTAAAGCCTCTATTATTGAGAAGACACTTCTCCACAACTTCTTTCAAGGTAAGTTAGAGTTACTTGCAACTGAACAAAAACCTTCAGATTTTAACATTACAATTTCAATGGATCTGTGACTATATTATCAGAAGTGTCAGCAGCACAATGAAATTAAGGTAATTCACTATATCCACCAAAACTTCATAACATTTCCTTCTTTTTCACACAAGCCACACTGATTTAAAAGATATGCATTTGTTTGAAAATTAATAGCAACATTCTTTTGTTTCATTTTATGCAGCTTTAAAGACCAAAGGAGCCTTAGGAATTAATTGCAGGCTTCTAATAAACACAATGATGTAATGACGTATTTAACATTACTGGTTTTTGTTTGATTCCAAATAAATTGCAGATTTTTTTCTGGTGTGATACTAAAACAATTACCATTTTGCAAAAAGGATAATTAATCTGCAATTTTTTCACATTAGATCATATATCTCTAAAGAGTGCCCACAGATTTGATAGTCTTCAGCTGCTGTGTATTTATTTTTCATTTTTTCTACTGATGTACCGCCCCATCAGTGCTGACATTTAAATGAGTGAGTATTCAACACAAATGTGATCATTTGTACAGCATCCAATGCGGCCCCATACTGAGATGATTGCTTCTGGGAGCCATCCACGGGTTCTCAAATAGGGGGAAAAAGCCAGGCAAAATTTTATCAATTTACATTTTTCTGTGATTAATTTTTATGCAAATAAGGGCCCGACCGTGCTCCCATCTCACCTGAATCATCCGGATCATCAAAGACAAATTGAGCATCACTTATTTAAAAAATAGGCTTTAAACTACTCTACAGCTGTGTTGGAAAATGCTAAGAGCGGGGCATGAACTTCTCTAATATAACAGGAATAGATAAGAAAATGCCTTTTATGTACGTTTTGTACACAATGCCATAAACATGGAACTTAACAAAATTTTTAAAAAAGCCTTTCCTTTGAATATTCTCTGGTCCTTGTAAACATTCAACAATGGGAATCACAATGTATGAAGCAACATTTCCCCAATTTCTGAACACATAATCAGAAGTGTTTCCCATTAAACAAAATATACTGACCATTATATGCCTTTGCCTACCTTCTATTGCTTTTGGATCAAAGTGTCTAATGAACAGAATAATACAGAGGAAACAGAATGTTGCAAAATGAAAAATCTTTGTTGTTAGGGGATTTAAGTTGTCAGAATTATGTTGTGTAAAATGGACATAGCACTTCTAAGACCATAAATTCATATAGCTTCCACTAAAATATAATAATAGAATTATTTGGTTCGAATTTGAGATCTATTAAAATTATATAAATCATATTAGATTTTTTTCAAAACATATTCTTCAGATTTATTAAATACAAAGAAAGGTGTTTTCCATGCTATCTAGAATCAAGTTAACAGTGCACTTTATATAAAAAATTGTCACAGCTTACAAACACCACTTCAGCAGTAACTAAGTTCAATTTGCTATTTTTTAGGAAAAGCTATATTTTTTCACATTGCATCTTTTAAAAATGTGCTTAGAGTTTTGTGTACATTACTCAGTTATCAAAATCTTCCCAGATGTCTCTCCCTCACTCATGAAAATAATCACCAGAGCAGAAATAAATTGTTGACAATTCTCTGAGAATGGAAACAGACCACGGGGGGTAAAAATCTGGTTATCTGAATGGGCGATATAATCGAAGGTTCAGCTAAGCTAAGGGAATTTCAACATAAACAATGCTCTTATTTCCAAGAATGGATTCTCCTTTATATACAATAGTGGAGGAATGCCAGTCCTCTCCTTACTGCTGTGAGAAAAGTGCTGGACAGGAACAAGATTAGAATCTTAAAAGCTGTCCTGGGGAGCAAAATTACTGTGCAGTGTACAGGTGAGGAGGTAAAAGGAGCAAAGATAAATGGAGTTTATTCCATGGTTTTTTAGAGTTTATTTCACAAAGACAGAAATAAAGATATCTAAATCCATAGTTACAGTCACTCCATGTGAGATGGCTGTGTGTGTGTGCGCGCGCGCGTGTGTGTGTTGGGGCATGTATGTGTACAGAACTGTGTCACTTGGCTTCCTCTCTCCCTCATCAACAAATATGACCTTCAATACTGTAGTCCACAAAGACATTTCCTGTCTGTATTCTCACTGCCTCACTCCAAAATAACCTGGGAAAGACAGGTTTTTCTCTCACAAAAATTCACTAATTTTAGCTCGGTGAGCTACTGATGAAAAATAGGAGAATCACCAGATTTATGCAACTCTTGACACACACACAAACACACACACACACACACACACACACACACACACACACACACACACAAGATCTGTCTAGTCTGATCTTAGGCTGAATCAGTTTAGACCAGCCAGCACAGAATGTCATCTGCTCTGATTCAATCAGAAGTTGAAGCAATTCATATGGTTCATAACCTGGACATTTCCTATTCTCAAAGGTGGGTGTAATGTGACTCTCGATCCCCAAGGATTTGCAAACTCTAACCATAACTTTAAGCAACAGCTGTTTGGTTGAAAGCAGGTCAGCTGGTAACTGCACAGCTGTTTTTTTGTTTTTTTTTTAAAGCCCAGGATAGTTGCCAGTGTAATGTAAAAACCAGCCTGTCTCTCACAGAAGTAAATTGGCACTTCCCAAATGACAGGGGGAACCGTGTCCACATGTGCTGAGTACATTTGGGGGCAATGGGAGAAGGGATTGGAGAAGGAGACAACCTCCAGGAATAGCAACTCATAAAATTAGGCAAGAAGTACTACTGGTCCTTAAAGGAGAGGAGATCCAGGGCTCTGGTTGAGCCTCACAGGGTCTCAACATCCACACATTTAATCTTGGCCACAGTCTTTTCCACAGAGATCAGATGACCACTGCTTTCATTTCTGAACAATTATTTCCTTGTGAATCATCCCAAGGAAGGGGCCACTGACTCCCTAATTTAAATGAAAAGCACAACTTATGAATTCTGCTTCCCACATTTCAAATCTTCAGCACAGGAAACAAAATCACATCACTTCCTGGAAATAATTGTGAATCTTACAGATTTTAAAGTAAGGAACTCTAGGAGGAGAGTCAGAAATTAGAATACAAAATGTCAGCATGACGTGACTATCATGTGTGAGCATTTCCAGTAGAATGCAGTCATCTCAGTTTCTGAATTTTAAAATTAAAATACCCATACATTTCCCAATGATCCTCTTTTTTATTATGGAAATGATGACAATCATATTAAAACACTGGAGTATGTGGGTTTCTTTTTTTCCCCACTTATGCCATGCCTATTTACATCTGTTTCTTAAAATTAAGATATAATTTACATAGAATAAAATGTGCAAATCTTAAATGCACAGTTCAATGACTTTTTTTACACACATAGACACCTGTGTAGAAGTATGACAGCAAACAAGAGATAGACTATTTTTATCACCTCCCTTTCCCTTCACTAAAAGTATATGAGGTATTAAAAGTAAGTGAGGCAATAAAATTATATGAGGTGAGATGAGGAAGGTAAGGCACAGATAAATCAAGAAATATAGATGAAAGAATGTCTCAGAAAGACAATATGGAATAAAAGAAAAAAATTGCTAGAGGTGATGAGGCTAAGTTTCAAACCCATGATCCTCTCACTCCAAAGCCTGTATCCTTCCCCTAAGCCACACTGCCTCTATCAAAAGAGAGGATGATGAGAAAGAACATGATAATCAACATTCATGGGAATAAATATCATGCCAAATTATTTATTAAAAATCAGTAGAAAGAACATTTTATGAAATAATTAACTAAAATTGACATTATGATATTCTTAACATTCAAAGGAATGCCATAGTTTTCTATAGGGAGGGATATTAGTATTAGGCTCAGCTGCACATAGCAGAAAACTCAAACAAATGAAATATTAAATATGATACAGGTTTATTTTTCCATTATGCAGAAATTCAGAGATTGGCAGTCAAGATTAGTATGAAAGGTATTTAGTCATTAGAAGCCCAGATTAGGTCTTTTTTTTCACTTTCCTTACATCTTTTCCTTCCTTGTGGTTGCCTCGTGGTCACAAGATGGTTACTGCAGCTCTAGTCATCGTGTCCACTTTCAAGGCAGCAAGAAGGAAAAAAGGCAAGGATAACTGGGTACCTGCTTCATAGTCAGTAGATTTTAAATAGTTTTTTGAATTATTTCACAAAATGACTTCTACTTTTTATATCAAAGGCCACCTAATCTGTAGTGGAGGCTGGGATAGTTAGTATTTTGGATAGACCCATTTCCACCCTTGTTAATTAAAGAAGTAGGAAGAATGGAAATTTGGTAGACAATTAGTAGTTTCTCTTCTTAGGAAGAGAAAAACTTTGACCAATTTAAGTACTCAAAGTAACACAAATCTAGGAAACTTCGAATGTGATAAGATAAACAGATCTGCTTATAATTAAAACTCATTATATTGAAAAATACCATTAAAAAGATTCATATTCTTTCTGTAGTGACAGTGAAAATAACTCCTACTATCTTAAAAAAAAAATAGAAACAGAAACCAAAAAAAGTGGGATACTGTTTGTTTGTCTATTTTTAAGAGAGAAAAAATCACAAATGAAATTTGGTCATATTTCTTATGTGTCTATGATGCCAGGAACTGTTCTGGGCACTTGGGATATAGCCAACAAGACAAACATGCTTACTGTTATTATAGAACAAACGTGCTTACTGTTATTACAGAACAACAAGACAAACGTGCTTACTGTTATTATAGAACTTGTAACCAATAAACAAACAAAGAAGCTCTGAAAATGGTAAATGTTATGTAGAAAATTAAAGTAAGTCAGCTTAATAGAGATTGACTGTTGACTAGTTTATGTGAGGTCATCAGGGAAGACCTCTCTTAGGAGGTTACATTTAAGCTGAGATTTGAATGACAAGAAAAAACAAGCCAGGTGAAGCTCATGTGATGAGGATTTGGGGCCAGAGGAACAGCTGGTGCAAAGGCTGTAGATGGAAAAAGCTTAGGATATTCCAAGAGCAGAGACAGA